TTATCTATAATATTTTTTTTAATCTATCAAGTTCAAAAATTAAATGTAAAAATAGATTAGTAACAAGATATATTCATATATTTATGATAAGTAATATTTTAAATTTACTTAAAGTTTATATTAAAAATTATTTATATATTAAATATTTAGTAAGTTATAAAAAATAACTAGTTAGTAATATTAGAAATGATAATAAAGATAATAAAAAAAGAAATTAAAAAGACAGAGCAAGTAATAAAGAAAAAATATCAAAAGTTATAAGTTAAGAATATGATTAAAAAAGATAATAATAAGAAAGATGATAATTATAATAATTTTGTAAGTTTTTTTAATATTCTTTATAATTTATTTCTTTGAAATCTTTAAAAAAAATTAATTTTTTATTCAAAAGATTACCAACTTGGATTGTAAATTTATATAATATAATTTTTTTTAAATTTATATTTTATTATTATATACAATAATAATCAAAAGTAATGATTCAGAGGCTAAATTTACTAATAAAACACAGTAAAAATTAAAATTTTCTCTATGTTTTATTAATAAATTTAGCTCCTGAGTCATTACTTTTGGTCATCACTATATATACTTTATAATAAAATAAATATCTTTATTATTATTTAATCTATAAATTCTATTATTACTTGAAATTATTACTATTACTACTACTTAAAATTATTATTATTGCTTAAAATTAATATTATAAAGTTTTAAATAGAATTTTAAAAAAATTAAAAAATCTATATAAATTTATAATAAAATATAGATTTATATAAATTTTTTAATTTTTTTTTCTTTATGATGCAGAAAGTTTAAAGATATCAAATAACTGCACTACTGCTAAAATTTGATATAATTATCATATTATAGAAGTAATAATTTATATAATTTTTTACATAATTAATACTTGTATGAAAGTCAAAAAAATTTTTTAGACTTTCAATTAATTATTCTGGACAGCTTAAAAAAATAGCATCTTTTATATATGAAGTAAGTACATCTTTATTTGTAACTCAGAGGGTGTCCTGGTTTTTTCATCATTAGAATCAGAGAATTTTTTTAAGAGATGATTTATTCTCAATTTATTTATTCTCTTAATTTATTTATTTTTTAAATTGATTTATTAATAAATTTTTTATAATACTCAGATGTAACAAATATACCAGATACTACTTGACTATTATTAAAAAGTGATGAGATAATAAGTCAATACTTGATATATAAGTATCTAATACTGAATATAATAAACCAAGCTTTAATATCACTTGAACAGAAGATAATGATACTGTGAATGATCAATTCGATATATGAATATCAGATATCAAATATGATAAACTGAGCTTTGATACCACTTAGACAAAAGATAATGATACTATAAATAATCAATTCATATAAGAATTAAAAGAAGTAAAACCAAGTGTATTTGAGAAACTCATTAAATAAGCAAGATAATCAGATACATGGATAACAAAAAGGTAAAAATAATTTTACGCTGGCTTTACAGAATTAACATTGTATAATAAGAGAGCAGTCTTAAAAAAAATAATTGCAGGCTCTAGCAAAATTATTAATTGATTTTCCAGTAACCTCTCTATCAATAACAAAGCAAATTCCACTCATGACAAGACAGATCTTCTATTTGATAAAGCAGTAATAATAATAACAATGATCATAATAAATTTAATTTAACATCTCTTGATACTTTATTAGTAAAAAAGCCTGAGGATATATAACTTCATATAGCAAGTTAATTTCTTCATCTTGTTCAAGATCAAGGATTTTCTAAGCTATCAACTAGTGAGCTTCTGATATGTAGTATTAATAGAGGTCTATGGTATGCATAGGTTATTTATTCATGGGCAAATTAATAGTTAAGCAAAGATGAACTTCATATATCATATCATGAGTATTACTCAAAAATCTCTCTTCTGTACCATAAAGACTTCAAGTTACATATTCTCTAATATTTACATGCAAATAAATTTATCCTGACCCTTTACCATTTTATAAAGTTTGTTAAAGAAAAGGTCATACTAACTTTTGGATTCGAGAAAAAAAAATAATTTCTGAAGTAACAGCTCGATTATGGCTATATCATCTTGACTGGAATTATAAAGATCATTCAAAGAATATTTACTTTGACAGCCATGAGTGTGATGATGTGGTAATATACTGAAATCAATTCCTTGAACAAATAGCTAATTTACAATCTCGAATGGTAGTATATGAAGAGAAAAATATGGAGCAAGTTATTTTGCCAATACTTTTATTCAATATTCCTGAACTTATCCCAATTACTCATAATAAATCAGTTTTTTATGCTAATAATAGTGTTATTAAAATATGGGGTCTTATAGAAGAAAACCAACTCTGATATAAATCTCAAGATCTTAATATCCATGTGAGTGATTTTATCTGTGAATCAATTAGATGTTTTCATCTTTCAGAAGAGAAATAAATTGCAAATAATCTGCTTCCTGATGACTAGTAACTTTTGCACACTAAAGTATGTGTTATTATGTATTCAGGTTTTAATTGAGATAGTTGGTGGATGAATCAAGATCTTATAAAATAAGTAGTTAATAGAGCTATTTCTATTTTTGAAAGAATGCATCCTGGCAAAGTGATACTTTTTATATTTGATAATAGTAGTAATCATAACACATATGCCAATAATATCTTGGTAGTTTCGAGAATGAATCTTAAGAATAGGAGTAAACAATCACTTCTCCATGATAAAAGGATACCTGATGAATTATCTTATATTATGACATTTGTCAATATTAACAGAATAACTAAATCAAAGAGTATTCAGCGAATTCTTGAAGAGCATGAGTTATGAGTATAAGGGTTAGTGAAGCAATATGATTTATATAAGTCACATATTAATCCAGTAAATTTATAATGTTGTGTAGCTGGTATTCTTGGTCAACAGTCTGATTTTACATCTCAAAAAACTATTTGCAAAAGATTATTGAAGTAGCTGGTCATATGTGTATTTTTTATCCAAAGTTTCACTGTGAGCTCAATTATATAAAGTTATTTTGGGGGAATGCAAAATAATATTTATGCTTACATTATGATTATACTTTCAAAAGCCTCAAAAAAATAGTTCTATGTGCATTAGAATCCATTATCTTAATCAGGATTCATCAGTTTGTACATAAATGTGTATAAACAAGATCTTTCAGAAAGAGCTACTATCTTTGTGATAAAGAAATATTAATCATATTATTGAGTTTCAGAGAGTATTTTGGAAGAATTTGGCCATATAAAATAGAAATAAGTTGCATCTGAAAAATTGAGAAATTGTATTTGAATCAAATTTAGAAGATGGAAGTTACATTTAGGGAATTATGAAATTGTATTTAAATAATTATTTTTCTCTTCTCCTCTACCCTTAAAATAAAAAAAATAATTCATGACATTACTGAGCATATACATAAAAGCAATCTTTAAGAATTAAGGATGATATCATTTAACATATTTATTTAAAGTTTATTATTAGTTCGCTTTATTGAAGACTAATCACATGTATCATATAAAACTAACCAATCAGGTGTTACAAATACAAAATTATGTGTATTATATAAAGATCTAGCCAATCAGAGAAGACTTCTTGGTACTGAAAATTTTATAATTTATTATTTTTTATAATAAAGTATTCATAGAAAAAGTTTAACTACTCAATAAATTATTATTATACTTTGTAAAAGAAATACATACAATTATAACTCTTATCAAAGACTATTTAACAATATATTCTTTTTTAAAATTTTATTTTTAGATACAAAGTTTTAGTCATTCAAAATATTGGATGACTTTAGACTTTTTGCACCATATTAATTATTATTAGATTTAAAGTTTTGCACAAATTTTTGAATCTGAAGATTTGTGCAAAATGTATTTTTAAAAATTTTCTGATAAATATAATTAATTTTAATATATTAATAATAAAAAAATAATTAATTTATATTATATATTTAAATATTAATTTTGAAAAAATATATAATATTTAATAATTAATAATTATAATTATATAAAATATTTTAATATATTTAAATATAATAATTCTTATAATTATAAAATCAGAAGATTAATTTTAAAAATATTTATAAATATAATTAGATCTTTTTATAATTATATCTTCTATAATTATATTTTTTTATAATTATTTTTTCAAGTCTTTTAGTTTTTAATTATAAAATTTTTTTATAATTATATTTTTTTGTAATTATTTAATTTTTACTTTTTCAAGTATAATAATTATAAAGAGATTTGATTATATAATAATTTAAAAAAATATTTTAATTTTTATTATTATATTAATAAATTTAATAATTTTATTAAATATTATATTATATTTTTTTAAATATTTAAAAGTTTTTAATAAAAAATTTTACTTATAAAGTTATTATAAACTTTTTAATTATAAAAATATAATAACTTTAAAATTAAATAATTCTTTTAGAAAGTTTCAAAATATATAAATTCTTATCTTTATTTTAATTTAATAAAAATAAAAATTTGATTTTTAATAATTTAATTTTCTGATTTTATAATTATAAAATCATTATATTTTATTAATAAATTTAACTCATTATCTTGATAAAATTTAATAAAATACTTTATAAATCAAATATTTCAATTTATATAATAAAAATATAATAAATCATTTCTATTTAAAAATTTGATAGATTTTTGATCATATTAATATTTTATTAATGATAAAAAATCATCTTAGTAATTTATATTTCAAATAATATCATTCAATTAATTATAATTCAAATTTTATATATAATTTAGTTTTTATTTGTAATTTTAATAAAATTATTTAATTTTAAAAAAACAATATTTGAGTGATTTACAATTTTGATATTGTATTATTTCACTAAGAATCTACATAATCAAGTATATATAAATTTATTTTATTATTTTTACTATGTAATTTCAATAAATAAATTATTTTAGATAATATAGTGGAATTCGTAATAATCAACATGAACGATTTTAAGAATTTAAAGGCTGAAAAACAGATTGCACTCCCAAAAAATCTTATCAATTTAATATTAGAATCAAATCAAGTATAGATTTTCTAATAAAAGATAACTCTAATTTCACATGCAAGTTATAAGTAGAATTTATCTGGCTAATTATGTGATGTAAAATATTCTCTAAAAAATAGTGTCTTCTATATATAATGAATAAGAAATAGTTAGACTTTAGCAAGCGATAATGGTTCGGTTAAAATGCACCAACAACTTTATGATTATCAAATGAATGTAATTGTCATTTTCGTTACACGCTGAATCTGAAAGGATCTTTAAGGCAGCGCCTATATTCATTAACATGTGAGTGAGAGAGTTCGGAAAATTGTTTAAGGAAAACAAAATAAATTATAGCATCGATCTGTATCAAAGGGATACTATCAATCGGAGTTAGTCATGATGACACACATGAAATTAAGTTACATTGAAGACTATCAGCTGTCTAAAAAATTTCTATTTAGAAAACATACGTAATCACCCAAGAAATTCATCCCCTCGGGGGAGGTGGAATAATTGAATTCTAGTCCCTTAATATTTTTGGGCACAAATAAGGGTTCGTTCAAAGTAATATACAAGTTACCTAAATTTAATTAGTTCTATTTTTTTTTGACATTTGAATGGCAAAAAATTAAACTAGACATATGAATTTGTTAGTCCCTTACTAAGATTAGCATCTTTATTTCGAATTTAACAAAAGCAAGAGAGTTCAAATAATTTCAAAGTAAACTGCCCAAGAATAAGCATTACGTGAAATTCTAATACAATATTTTTAAAGCAATGTGTAAGTTGCAATTTCGTGATAATGCAGACTGAAAAATAAAGACCATTTATTCCGAAATTCGACTTAAACATACGTGACATGAGAATATTATGCACCATTTATAATCAATAAATGCAAGGAGAGAGTTTGCTGCGCATCTGCAAATTTAATTAATTGTCTGCGCGCATTATATAAATTGAAATTTTTATATTTTATCACTGTACGTGTTTATTTTTACTTGGGTTTGTTAAATGTGGTGACATGTCAATGTCCGCCCATCTTACCACAATCATCAGATTTTGTGTTTAACATTAATTTTCCCCTTAATCTGAATTTCCGACTTATAATAATAAGAGGCTGATAATTACGTCAAAAAAAAAACAATCATCTTGCTTATTTTGATTTCTTTGATGTTTAAAAAGGAACCGCAAATCGTGAAAAATAAGAAACGGCGAAAAAATCAGCGAGAAAAAAAAATGTGTTGTCCGTTCGTTTGTGCCATTGACAATTCCTCCCTCCATCTTAACCAAACATTTGATATTCTTTTAAGTCGTTCCTCTTAGAATAAGACTTATTATGGCACCAATCGTGCGTACACGATCAAGTGTTGTCCATGTGTCTGGTTGAATTTCGGGTATCCAATATTTTAATCCTGTTTATATGTATGTCTAATAACGCGCGCGTGAATATGACCATTTCACTCAATAAATAAATACATCGATATATAGTTCTTACTATAAGTTTATTTGTTCTTCACATTATTTGTTTGGAAAATAGATGGGTGAGAGGGTTGGGATGGGATGTTGGATGATGGATGGGGATCTAAATAATTCCTCAAGCAAATTTCACATGTTGTAATGCAATGAAAGCTGGTGAATTGTTTGACAAAAACATATAAATATAATTAGGTAATAAAGAGGTGGATTTATAAAGTAATATACAGCATATAACACATATAAATATATATATATACATATATATATTTATATTTTTTATTAAGAATAACGCGTAAATATTTGAAGGAAAATTCAAGGAACTTTGAAAGAGAAAGGAAGCATTTGAATCAAATCCTAATTCAGCATAATTAAAAACTTGACACTTTTTACATTATCGTGAGCTCCCCCACCTTCCGACCTAAAATATTCTTATTTTAAAACTCCCTATCTCATCTCTTTATCATTGGATGCACAAATTCTCATTTGAATTAACCTTTGTCCCCACCCTAACCCACCCCACACAACCATTAATCAGCACGTACTAATAAAGCTAACATCGCATATTTATTCAAGCATCGGTAACCGCACTTTTTTACTTTCCTCTTTTTTTTTCCCTCCAACAACTTAGAAGAAGAAGGGAAAAAGAAGCAAAAAAATAATAATAAAAAAATAATCTTACCTTCTCCTCGTATATATATACATATATATATCATATATTTATGTTTCGATATTTATAGAGATTTTCTCATTTTCTCATTTAAGAATAACGTTATGAAAATAACAACAATATAAAACCAATAACGGAAAACAAAACAGAAAAGCATAAAGGTAATATGAAAATTTTATATAACGATAACACGCAGGAATTATTATCTTCGTTACGTCTTGTTTGGTCACACACAAAGTACACGACACGATAATATGCATAAATAAATAAATAAGCCTATATATCATTAAAAAAACTTTACGTTTACGCTCTAATTTGACTTTGAATTTTTTTACTATTCTTTAACCATATCAGATATTTCGAGCAAAAGAGCATACGATATATAAACGCGAAATAAACTTTTCTTACGACCGACCGTTTCGAAATAATAAATAATAATAATTAAATAATAAATTAATCGATCAATCAAATCAAATCAAATCAATCAATCATAGATAGACGACGAACTTGTCAATAATGGTATTTTCGGTGTTTTCAAGGAAACATTTAAAAAAACAGCATAACCTTCAGGGACAACAATGGTTAGCACAAAAGCAAGCACAGGCAGCTGCACAGCAGCAACAACAAGAGGAAGAGGAACCTTATTCGGCAGAACCATATCAAGATGATAATAATTCATCCAATACTATCATCAATAGCAACAATAATCATCACAATATTCACTCTTATAATGGACTGCAGCACATGAACTCTTATCCAAACTTACGAACACCTCAAAATCAAATGACAAAAACATATCAAATACCACAAGATGTCAAAATTCAGTTTGATGGTGAACAAAGTGATACCTTTGTTTTGATTTCGGGACTTTCCCCTGATACTCTTAGTATGCCACTTCCGGGTGGTCGTAAATTGACACTTTTGGATAATTGGCGTGATGTTCGCTATATCGTGGAGGATCCAATTGTCGCCAGTACAAGTTCATTGGGAGTAAGTATTCTTTTGCGCGTATTGTATTTAGTTAGATACATGATACTTAATTGCATTTATTTTAAATAGTCAATTCATGATAGAGCCGTAGAGACATTTTATCAGTTAGTAGGAGGACAAGTGGTATGTATTATCAATTAATTATTGCTTATAAGAAGAAATAAATTTAAATTATTCCAATGATTGAATAGGATTATGGGCACTCACATTCTTCAAGGTTTGGCCATAAACGGTATGGTGAAAATTACGAAGTGGGGCTCTTTCCCGAATGGAGTGCTGACAATCCAATTGTATTAATCGGTAATTGTGGGATAATGGAGACATAAATCACGGGTTATGAGCAATTAATAAAATATTCATTTTTCTTAAATAGGAAAAGGAACCGGCGGTACTGTTGCTCATTACTTGCAACATCTTATTTCCATAGACTACTTTGGGAAATCCACATCAGGAAAATGGGTTAAAGCCGTAATCTGTCTGTCTACTCCTCATCGTGGTTCGGTGCTTCCGTACATTCTTGGCCTTATTCCCGGAACAAGAACATCAATTTCCGATTTTTCTTTCCTCAAAGTTTTCCTTACTATTATCCATTTAATCTGTTACTTCACATTTTTGGATACATTTTTTGGCTTCAAATTGAACAGTAAATGGCCATTAGCTAGGTCGACTGAAGGAGGGGAACAAACTTTATGGGATTCTCTTTGTGCAAGAAGCCCTTTTACGTATTGTGGTGATAATTTTTTGGTCGACTTATCCGTTGAGGGCGCTAGATCGAGGTACGCAACGGAGGATTGGAGACGGCAACATTTAGATCCCGGTGTTGTTTATATTAATTATATCACTACCGGTCAATCATGGAGATCAAGGGAGACGGGATATCATTGGGTACGTTTGTCTATTTTCGATTAATTGATTGATTGATCGATCGATTAATTAAATATATTAATGATTTGATGTTTAATTCAATTATTAGCCTCGATTTAGCTGGCGTAATTGGCCAAACGCAATATTCTCTTTTATTCTGGGCATAGGTCAACATCAATTCACACGTGAAACTGAACAACAAGTTCTTCGAACCCCTTCATCCAATTTTTGGGAAAATGACGGAACATTAAGTGTTTATTCGCAACAACCTCAACCTCATCAACCAATCGCCATGAATATTGCCCTCCCTGAAAAACTATTCGATCCGGTTGATCATGAACTTCAATCCGGATCTTGGTACAACGTTTACGTTGAAGATCTTTCGCACACAGTATTGTTCGACAAAGAACCATTCCTGCTTACTCTTCCGCTTATAAATGCATTTTTGGAGTTGTCATTTATGCAACAGTTAGTTGATTGGTTTGAAAGAAACAGTGAACAACTCGAAGAATATTACATAACAAGTGTTGAATTTGTTGAACGAACAATGATGAATTTCCGAATGATATTGAAATGGATAGCTAATAAAAAAACATCGAATAAGCGATCTTCGACCATGAAATTCTCTAATGCGAATAATAATAAAGTGACAAAACAACAAAATAATCCGATTTATTTGAATGCAACACAACCAAATATACCTTTATCTCTCGCTGAAAAATGTCAGGCTGTTGATCGATTTGAAAGACACGCAAGCGATAAAGCAGGAATTGAATGGATTCGACGTGTCGAAACCATGGCAGTATTTAATAGCCCAAGTAAAATGATTTTTTGGATGAAACAATTAGAAAAAAGCTCGGGAAATATTAATAATCACAACGATAACAACAACAATAACAATGGCAATATGGCAAATAATGTAGACAATAATAACAATAATCATCTTCAAATTCAACGTGAATTCAATTCTTACAGTCCGACAAATCGTGGAAATAATCCATCACCTTTATCAATGGCTCCAATAACATTTTCACCACCGATAATAAATGATAATCAACCAAAGGTTACGAATCCTTTTACCGCGAATAATGTTTCCTCGGCTTTCGCAGCTGGTGATGGACCGATGTTTATTAATAAAGCGCGACGAAGAATGACTGCAAACGAGTATAAAGCTTCTGTTATAGGGAATTCAAGTAGGTTGGGAGTGACAAGCGGAGTTTTATAATCTGAAGAATAGATAATAATAAGGAGGGAAAAAAGTAGATGCTTTTGTTAGTCGTTTATTAAGTAATTAATGTACCCCTTTCGTTGATAATGATGCATTCTACGCGTATTTGTGTTACGTAAATTGATAAATAGACTAAAATATCTAGAACGTTACTCGCCTGTTTTGATCATAATTAATTAATTAATCACCATCACTATCATTATTATATTATATTAATTATTTATTACTATTTTTTGTGTATCCGTGTGATTGATTTATTTCTCGAGTAGTACAGCGGACAAAAGACGCGATTTAAATGTACGCGTCCTAATGAATATCACGTTGCAAAAACCATGTCTTTAGAAACAAGCATTGAAAAGACATTTATTCTTCCGCCACTAATTACTGGCAATAATTCAATATTAATAAAGTCACTAGGAGAAGATTGGCTTGCAATAGGAGTGCACCCTGACTCTCTGCATGTGTTTTATAATGATTCTTTAAAAGAAGTTTGGAAGTTTTCGGCAGAACTTGTCGATGTTTCACTTGATACTTTATATTCGCCTAACGTTATGAATCTGAAGAATAATCAAAAATATGTATTGGTATCAACTGTCGATGGTTCACTCTGGCGAATTCAAACACCAGCACAAAGAAATAAACGAAGTTTTGGTACTGATGAGAATTCTAATAAGCTAAATAACCATATAAATTCATCATCACGAACTTTATTTTCACCACCAATCGTAACAAACGTTCGAGATGAGCATCGAATCTATAAAAAGGCAAGCTTTCATCTACCCGGTGGCTAAAATCATATCATTTATTATCACCGGGCGAAAATTAAAATTTCATTTAATAATTCAAAGATTGGCATTTGTAAAATACATCCAATAATTCTCGCAGATGTTGTTGGCCTATTAATTTGTTGTCAAAATGGAGAATTATTGTTTACCTCAACAATCGATAAATCGCCAAGCAATCAAGTTTTATATCGCCCACATAAACTAATCAACCATGAAGAGGAAATAACTTGTCTACTAATTGATATCCTTTTTTTGTTCTATTTAATACATTTTTTGTCACTGTTTTAAATAATTATTATTATTATTATTATTTGTTGACTTTATATCTACTTCGTCCATTATTGACTCGTGGAAATGGAAACTACTTGGATCAGGATTACCCGAAATTTATTACCTTGAACATTTTTAAAGAGTTATTATGTTCTGGAGGGTTAGTTAATTCATAGATGGATCGGTCAAATTTATCAATATACACTAATCGTAATGACGATGACAAAAAAATAGCGCATACCCTCCGATGAACACTGATCAAACAGATATCTTAATAACGGGAACATCAAAAGGATGGGTATCTTATCAACCACTCGTTCTTGATACACCAGAACCAATTCCGTTCACTTCCATGAATGTTAGTTAATTATTGTTAGCTATTTAATCAGATAATTAATACTTTACTTATTAAAAACTAATGATATGAAATCATAGGAACCAATCAACGCAATCTATACTTTACATATAAATCATGAGAATGCATCGAATGGTAACTTAATTGCGCATAATGCAATGATTTTGGTGGGGTAGGTGTTAATTAATGTCTTACTTTAATTGTATGTTACATATATTAATATCTATTTGTTATTGATTAGAACTCAAGGAACCATTCGATTGTCCTTTGTCAAGGAGAATGATTCGAATTCTCTAGAAAAAGTATTAGTTAGAGAATATTATGTTCCTGATCCTGTATACTCGTCTAATCTTTACATGGTATGTAATTTATTTATTTATTAATGCTTTTATTCTGGATTAATAGATTCAATTCTTTATTTGGATAATTAGGATCGATTAATATTAATAGTTAAGGATGGTCGCGCAATGTATCTTGACTTTTCTCATCACGTGATTGTTGACGGTAATTAACACTGATGCTTTAATTTTTGTTGATTGACTAATTAATTAATTAATTACATTTTTTAGGAAAATTGGCCCCAATTAACAGTAAATCTATTGATCTCCCAAAAAATATACTTGGCTTGTGCTGTTCAACAAATTCAAATGGCAGTGGAAAATTATTTGCAATCACAAAAGATGGAAGATTAATTCGAAATAACTTGACAGTTGAGAATGAGCAAGTATTGATTGTAAAAAAAAATATTTTTTTATGGAAAAATAATTTCTGATCGATTCAATTCTATTTGGCAGTCCACAAAAGAATCCTCATTTCAAATTGTCGACACTCGATATAAGAAATGAATTGAGGAAACAGATTGAAAGTATTAGTAAATGTTCTGCGGAACAACGAGAATTAGAAATAGTTCAGAATGTATTAAATAATCTTTTTTTATTTGAACATGCTTTCACTGCTTCACTTCTAATCAATTATCAATTTGAACATCGAGTAGGAATTGAATTCTGCAATTATGAGTCGAAACTTGGATATACATGAATTGAGATTACTTCGTAAAGGTCGAGTAAATAATTTAAATAATAAAAAAAATCTTTTCGTCTGCGATTGCCATCCAACGATGGTATCGACATCTTTAGTTGGATCAATAGTACAACGTACTTACTTGAAGGTGAAATTATTGAGTAGATTGGCGATTAATTGGAACCGAGACTGGTCATGTATGTTGTTTATAATTGATATTGAAATATCATTGATTATACTTATTTATTTTAACTAGTCTTTCTATTTTATTGACAATAAAGTGTTGGTTAAAATGCATAGCAAACATAATAATTCTGATCCTATTCTATCATATTCTGTTCCATTAATGGATATGATCCCGAATTCGATTTGGTGAGTTCAGATTTCTTGAACATTTTCATGATGATTATCGTTAACAACTTGATTATTTTGTTTGATTACTGAAGGGAAAAGGATATCGAAATAAATTTACGTCGTCTGCAATTTCCAATTTCAATCTCTGTTGGCTTGAATTTCGACGTCTCATTATCAATAGTATCCTCTTCATCAGAAAGTAATGTTGACATTATATAAAATTCCATCTTGTTCTCGTTAATAACCAACGTTAATCTAATTTAATTTAAAGCAAGACAGATTTACTTTCCAATACAAAATCTGTGCTATGATATATTGGACTTTATTAGACCATGTCCAGAAAATATTACCAAACAGATGCAACAACAACGTCATTTTGCAAGAGGAAGCTCGACGCCCGGATATAATACTCCGATGGATGGTAATTTTTTTGCCACACGAAAAGAATTTGTGAAAACTTTTGAAACATTACTTGATCGATTGACAAAGCATAATAAAATAGAGGTAATCATGTGCTATCATCCTATTTTGTACATGTCCACAATAATATCTAGAAATATTCCCTTGATATATAGGATACCACACTCTCTCTAAAAGATCTTTTCACGTCATTACGGCTTAGCACTGTATTCATCAATTTCCAAATTAGCTCGAGTAATTATGAGAATGATAAGGGAGAAAGATATGCGGCTTCTCCGGATGATTCATTGAAGATATGTTTATCGATACTTTTAGGGGAAAATATTCCAAAGTATTTATTCTAATATGATGAATTTATTAGAATTTTGTTCATTAATTGATATTATTCTTATTCAGCGATCAACTTAAAGAAATTATAAAAAGCACGGAATATGCTGTTTTTATTACACCTTTTAGCTTGGAGCCAGTGATTTTTAATTTAAGTAAAGGTAATGCATTAATCGCGTTGAGGATTAGAAAAAATACATTTTTTGTTCCTGAATTAATCAATTTTATAATTTCAAAAGTTAATGATATCCAATCTGAAACGATAACCGTCGAGTTGAAAATTTCATGCAATTCTTTTCAAACATTATTGCAAGTGGAAGAAGCCATACTGAGAAGATTATTGGATTTTTCTAGGGTATTCAGCAATAATAATTCTCATGAGTATAATTTGATGGATATTGATAAAATTAGTAAGTGATTTTTGTTAATTGGTTATTTAAAAGAATCATTGCCTTAAAGTTCTAAAAAACGAAATATAGATCGAGGTTTCGAGCAAGAACTAGATAAGCTAATCAAGTACCTTGAAACGCGCCAACTAAATAAAACCGTTGGATCATATCAATATGTTCATAATCAATATGACTCTTTGGCTTCATCATCATCATCATTTTATAACATTGAACAATTAGAAGCTAAATTTGATGAAATTTTGAGTGGGATACGGAAAAAATTGGAACGGATTATTATACCTGGATTTATAGAGCTCTGATTCCCTATTTATTATGTACTTGTTATATGAAAATATATACAAAAATACAAAATTTCAATACGCGTGTTGCCCAATTTTTGTCAAATAGTCGAGATAATCCTTAAAAACAGATTCTCTCAATGTTTCAAGGATCGAATTTTTGAAATTGTTCTTTGA